CCCTTCCTCCTGATGGATGCTAAACTTATCAGCTATGCACCCGAAGTGTGCAACAACTTTTCTTACGCGACCATTTAGCAAGAATCTGATTTTGTATTCATTATCCGGTGATCTATTGGATCATAATGGTCAACGCTAACCTGAACTATTTACATTTCAGCGTCAAGTTTGTCCGACCATATGGCAGCTGCAGGACACACGTAATTATTACACAACGATCTTACAGAGTGAAGTGTGGTTACTTGATTCACATTTAGTGATACTATTTATTAAGTTATAATATCTCCCGGAGAAGATAAAAATGGCTATTCACAACATAAAAAGCAGCAAAAACAGGGGATAGATATATATATATATATATATATTAGTATTTACAGGGGGGAATGTTATTGTCTACCATGAAATACAAGGCCAAAACTGAAATTCGGGAAACCTACTTGGGTATAATCAGTTACGGGATCTCTGCAGTTGCCGAAATTTTTAATCCTTCATATTTGGAGAAGGATTCACGCCTGATATATTAAGACCAAACATAAATAAACTCAAGATCTAACACCTTGCCACTTCTGGCTTTATACATGCTACAAATTACTAGTATACATGTAATGTCACCCTAACAATTTCATTTCTTTAATCAAATAAAGAATTTACATTCATATTATAAATGATATATTTATATTCGTAAAATCCCATTTATATTCATAAAACGTCCAAATGATATTTGTAAACTTTCATTAGTATTCGTAAAAACTTTATCTGTATTTGTAAACTTTCCATTTATATACAATTTGGTTTTGTTAAAATTGCATTTATATTCGTTAAACATATAATTGTATTTGTGAAAGAAATTGATAAGTGAGCATTGAGAGTGCTACTTTGGTAGAAATATATATTCGTATTTGTAAAACCTTTATTTATATTCGTCAACATTCATAAACCACTTTCCCGTAAGTATCGAGGCTGGGGTGCAGACATACGCCTGCTTTGTCAAAATACACAGATGTCAGTTTGTTTTATACGTTGTATTCGATAGAAAGGAATTTTATTCGTGTGGGTCGATTTATACACCCAAAAGCACAATATCAGGCATGCATGTTTACGTTACACCCCATATCTGGCATGCGCGCGCATGCGAAACGTCGTATCTTCGACTTCCGGGAAAGTGGTCTATTAAACGTCACAATTCCCCTCTATCGATTACTAGTACATGTATCAGCAAACTGACATGTTCATGAAGACGCGACAATGTCACGTGCGACAATGTCATATAAATCATCATCTGATAGTTATCGTCTAATAAAATCTAATGAAATGTTGGCATCCCTAACTCGTGTTACGTTTTTTTCTCCGATATTATCGTGAAGTCACCTATGTCTGGGTATAGACCCTCTATGTTGGCAGAGATGTCGAACTTAGAAATTTTTAGACATTATCAGACGATATTATAGGAGAAAAAATGAACTGCACCAATAGTTATCCAAAGAGAGATGCCTAACTTAGACATTGTAAGACGATAATATCGGAGAAAAACGAACTGCCCAAATAGTTACCCAAAGAGAGATGTCGAACTTAGACATTATTAAACAATAATATCGATAATATCGGAGAAAAACGAACTGTCCCAAGAGTTACCCAAAAAAAGAGATATCTAACTTAGACATTTTTAGACATTATTAGACGATAATATCGGAGAAAAACTAACTGCCCAAATAGTTATCCCGACCATGGGGCTAAATTTTAGACGATAATATCGGATAACGTTAAAAAGTGCAATGTCGCGCCTTCTTCGGAGGTGTTAGTTTCCATAACATTATTTATCTTTACACCTCGAAATGATTGACAGACCACATTATAAACAAATGTCATTTCTTTCTTTCTACCCACGAATCTCTTACGTAACCAGGGCTGGTCATCAACAGTTTATTTGATGTTTACGTTATGATTTACAACTACCGACTTTATGCAAATTGTAATCATTGTTGGAGTAACTTGTGTTTAATTTTATTCGTGTGGTCACACATGTCCGCGTGATTTCCTGTAGAACTTTTATTTATCACGTGAGTTCACTTTCTCGGGGCAGGTGACCAGATCAGCCGAGGCTAATCGGGGGGGGGGGGGTAAGAAACATATAAAAAGAGTTCATCTCACTGGTACGATCACAGTATTCTTTGGTCCACCAAAGCATTCACAGATCCACGCAGTCATGGCTTCCGAGAATAAGAAGATGCCCGGTAAGTGCAATTTTACAGATATTATTTGTTTGGCTATTCAGTGTATTCCCTAGCGCAAACTACAGTGGTTGTAATTCATATTGGAAATACTTTCCATGCCCTCTGCTCAACAGTAACTGAGTGCCAGTATCGCCAAGATTATATTTATCTAGAGAACTACCAAATATCTCTGAATTAGTGTACATGTACTTTAATTTGGCTCTTGAATAGCATTTTAAATAGAATCTATCCACACACGCTTGAAATCCGGCTAAAAACAGACAGACGTAGTGTATGTGAACACCGTCCGGTGTTGAGGGACGGTGATGTGAATTAACTGTAACTGTGTGCTTTAAAATGTCCATGTCAATTGCTTGCCCAAACTTTCAATATTATCGTTTTCTTCGCGGTATGAACCTAATTTCGGCCAGTCAGCTCTGGCCACAATTTGCAATCATAAACACGCATTACAACTCAATGTACATTCCCGCAATTTCTTTTCTCAGGTCAGTACGACTACATCATTGTTGGTGCAGGTCCAGGTGGCTGTCAGATGGGTTATTTCCTGGAGAAGAAGAAGCGTAGTTACGCAATCCTGGAAATGAATGACTTACCAGGTTCGTCCTTCGCAGAACACCCACGTCATCGTACTTTGATATCGATCAATAAAAGATTCAACCCATTCCCGGAGCCCGAATACAACATGCGACATGACTGGAACTCGTTGCTAAGCGATGATCCCGAACTTCTCTTTACTAAATACTCCAAAGAGCTGTTCCCTAACGCCGATGATCTGGTTCGCTACATGAGTGATTACGCCACCAAGTTCAACCTCAATATTCATTACAATACTCGAGTGGAGAAGATAAAGAAACTGGAAACTCAACAAAAACCCAGTGAAAATTTCTCTCTGCAAACGTCCAAAGGCGAGTACCGATGCAAAGTTCTGTTAGTTGCTACCGGAGCACATGATGAGAAAGTTCCCAAGAAAATCAAAGGTCACGAGCTTATGGAGACGTACTGTAGCCACAGTCTCGACACCGAGAAATACAATGGGAAAAAAGTTTTCATTCTTGGTAATGGAAACAGTGCTTTCGAAGTTGCTAACCACCTCGCTGGAGCAGCTAGTATAATACATATATTTGGAGATCGCAAAGTAAAGCATGCTTGGGACACCCATTTTGTAGGTAAGTAACAAGTTAGCGATGATTCAATATTGAACTCGTGAACTAAAAATACGCTCTGAGTGCGGTGTAATGCTCGCTCAACTTGTTATTATACAAGACACTGGTCTCCAACATTGGGAACAATCAACTCACAATAGTTTATCCATACTTAACATTCATATTTGGTGTACTATACTAATTCTACATTCCATATATACATTATTCCTTATTTGGTATGATGTATTAATCCAACCTTTCTTCGACAGGTGATCTCAGAGCAGTGAACGATACGGTACTTGACATGTACCAGTTGAAATCTCTGCACGTTTACCAGGCTGTGAACGTGATAGAAGTGGAGAAAACAGATGAAGGATACGTTCTCACCATTGACGATATTGTTCCACATTGGCGGGAAAGTCAAGGCCACGTTAGAGTCAAACTTCCCCCATATGATCACGTGATATGCTGTACTGGCTTCAATTATGTAGATTTGTCAATTTTTGACGACAATTGCAAACCAGGTAAAAGCTATTTTCGATTCTCAAAACATACAAACAGAAATTTTCGAGTTCAATATCAGTGCAACGTAGAAATGCTTACTAACTCAGTGTGATTCTATACGATTCATTACTAAAAAAGACCGATTGACAATGCTGAGACTACTGATTACTAGTATTAAAGATGTTTTCTCTGTTTTGTATTATCATAGTTACCAAACAGGATGACAAGTTTCCAGTTATCTCCAATACTTGGGAATCCAACATCGACAATATGTATTTCATGGGCACAGTGATGCAGTGCCGCGACAGGAAAGCTGCGTCCGGGTTTATTCATGGGTTCCGATACAACGTACGTACACTTCACAAGTTCCTTGAAGAGCGTTACGAAGAAGTTCCATATCCACGCGAACTTTATCCGCTTGACATTAACACACTCTCTGACAAGATCTTGGGTAATTATGTCACTTATTTTCATGTATATTTCATATAACTTCGGTAGTTTTGAATAAAATACAACTTATGTAACCAGCATAAATTTTTAAAAAATATTTATTTAAAAAATATTTTCGTTTGCACTTAAAAAAATGACGGTGCTGCATTATTTTTTTTCCTTTCAGAACGCGTAAGTGTGAGTGATGGTATATATCAAATGAATAACGTGTTGTGTCACGTGTTAGCTATTCCTGACTTCGATCCTAACATAAAGGGTGAAATTAAAGCTGAACTCTACCAGGATTTCCCCAAACCATACGTACTTGAAACTGCCATTAAAGGAAGATTCGCAAAATACAAGCACGTGTTCGTTATTGTACTTGCATACGGATTTGAAGAGTAAGTGAAATACATACAATGTAAATAGACTTCACACGACATGATAAACTGAATGCAGGAATATGTCCAGCTTAAAAACGTAAAATAGGGGTTGTGTCGAATTGGAGATTATATGTCATACTTGTCTTACTTTCGTGATTACAAATTCATGTCACCAAGGAAAAACTAATCGGGTTACTAAACAATTTTTTGGAAAACAAGAAAATTAAAACAAATGAACAAAGTTAAGTTTTTTACAATGGTTCCTAGAGTGAAATTGTACTACATGACATGGGATGAAAAGGCTGTACTGTGGTTTTGACATTGCTCAAGAATTATTAGTATTAGTACTGCTTCTCGTAGATAAAATGCTATTTTTGTTGCAGTTATAAATCCATCTACGTTTTAAAATAGTGTAGTTTGGGATTTGTTAATCTAAATTACACTGTATCCATTATATCATTGCCCCAGATTTTATATTATTACATACAATGTTGAATAATCTATCTGTTTTCTTACTAGCTTTGGAAAAGATGGCAAACACGCGATGGATTTTGCTCACTTCCCCGAACTGAACGCTACTGATTGTCAGGCATTTCTGCATCCCGTTATTACCTACTACAAGAACGGTGATCTGATGGATGAACTGAAATTACCAGAGTCGTTGATACTGAGATTTGACGTTCCATTGACTCTAAACCAAAACCCAGACGTGGGAAATAACAGGATGAGGAATTTCATCAATAAACAGGTAATTATAGTGACAATCAGAACGCTTTTCCACTCACGTATATTCTTTCAAAGGCTTACACGGTGGCTCACGTTCTTCTTCACCCACACACTTCAGACAAACACATTGTCATAAATTGATGTACTAAAAGACAGAAAACAGAATAGTGTGGAGCTTTCGCGTTTACTTTTTCACGCTGGTCCTGCACTCATTTAGTACTAAAAGTGTATTTGAGGATGGAACAAATAATTATATAGTTAGAATCAGTATCCAAATGTAATCTGACTGATATATGTGACTATATTATAAAATAGCAACTGTGATATGATGCTATAATACTGATAAAAAAATGACAAAAACTTATTTTCGTGATTTGTTTGTTGACATTTTGTAAATTGAGATTCACTTTCGCAATATTACGATTAATTGTAAAGCTACCTGATTTTGTGCTTTGCCCTAGCCCCTAACAGCCAGACTAAACAGAATGCCTTGTATATATTCTTCGACTAAAAGGGGGAAATTACGGTAATGTCCGTGCCGAGAGAGAAGCCCGAACATTTTTTCGTTGTTTGAATAAACTTATCAACCGTCGCTATGAACGAAACCATGATATCTGGTAATAACCCACACTGTGTATTCTCTTACAGCTGAATCTAAAGCCCGGACAACATTTGTATGAAGGATTCTTCATGGAGAAAGTGTCAGACAGAGTCACTCCCTTCACAGAGGACGAGAAAAGAAGAATACCAGACCTTAGTGTATTCAAGTCTTGCATTCCATTCAGCATCGACTTAAACCCAAAAATGGCGTAATTATTATGTCTGTAAACATCAACTCACTTTACTGTAAGTGAAATCGCAATATTAGCCACAATCGGTATTTCGACATAAAGCTGAAAAAGCTAAAAATCAAATAGTTCGGTCCATGTAATACCCGAGAACTCACAGTGAACGGAAAATCACCCCTTACTATTCTGTTTATTAGATTTGCCCTACTATAACTTCCTCAACTATATACGTTTTACGATTACACCAAAAAAGAAAAACAATAAGTTAGTCGCTACTTCAGTTTGAAAGCAACACAAAACGAAGGTCAAGAGACAACAACAGTAATATGTACAATCACGATTCACGCATCGCTGCCATTTTTTTCTGTTTATTGGTAGTATTACCAAACTAATGTTAATAACAAACTTATTGTAATTGTTGAATTATTTGAATAACAATGTACTTAGTTAATATTTGAGATTAAATAGTTGCAAATAGAAATATTCTGGTAATTGTTATACAGTCTTAGTATGCGTGTCGTTATAAACTGGGGAAGAGTGTACTCGCAATAGAATAAGTGACACCACGTGAGTGATCGGTTTTGAGATGGCTCGTAATAAAGAGAGTGACACCAAGTGATCAGTTAAATCATAGACCTTAATTTCTAAGGTCTATGGTTAAATATGCTGCATGAATGAAATTAGGTGTATGAAATCACGGAAAGATCACGGTGATGTGTTATTGGATTGGTCAATCTAACACGAACACTGCGAATCTGTGATTTGGTCATTATGTGTGATTTTAGTATCAATATATCTCCTTCGACACTGATTCGAGCTGATCTGAGTGCAAATTATCCACGTAATCGCAGTACAGGGATGTTTACCAAGTAAATATTATAAATTCAATCGGAACCGAACACGGAACTGATAAGGAGAATAGCGCCCTCTACCCTCTCCATGTGTTTGTGGTCGATGATATCGACAAATATAATCCAGCGTCAAATTCATATACTTTCATATTAACCTAAAAATGTTCACTTTCAAAGTGTCAAAACGCCATTATTTAGGCGGATCTAGAACGTTCTGTTTTCTTTGTAATGTAGAATTGTCATATGAGAAGTGTCCATTGCGGATCCCAATGTGCTGTTTCCGAGTTTTTTCTGTATATGCCGCCAAATCTCGACGTAGTTTGTATCGTCAGAATGATATATTAAACAAATGAATCCCTTTGTGTCAGCAAAATTTGACCCTCAAAATGCATGAAACAGCGTTTCAGAGGGTCTATATTTCAAAATTTTAAATTTTACACCCTAGTAAAGTCGCGCCTTCGGTACAAGGTTGGTGAGCAGATCTCGCCCCAAACCCTGTGCACATGTCTGTTGTTTCGGCCGCTACGCACCATAGCGGACGGAACAACAGACATGTACACAGTGCTAAATTATACAATAAATGACTAACTCTATAAACTGACTAGAAGCTTTGTGTTCTTCGATTGTTAGAAGCGAAAAATCGAATCCGTTCAAGCCAGAAATAGTATTGAAATATTCACCAGAAATCAAGATGAACGGAGTTGTTAGGAAATTATTTTGAGTGAAATCAGTGTTTCTTTCCCGAATATATACGTTATTCGAATTTCGATTAACTGTCAATCAAAGTTCGAGCTGCTAGTTGTGGACGTTCATCAAAAACAAAAATGTATGTTGCCTGGAACTCGAAGTTACAATTTAGGCGCAGTTTCTAAGATACGGACGTGATCATTTTTGTAACTAAAAGCTCGTAACTCAGTGCCCATAGCTTGAATAATTCAGCATCTTGTCTACGTTAGTTGATACACATTTCACATTATGAAATTTACTATTCATGTGCATGGGTTGTTTTTTTCATAAAATAATATCAGCATTGGTGGCGTGCTTCCCCGTCGAAAAACTCTGGGAGTCGACAGCCAATGGGATACGCGCGCGTACACAATATAAGTTCGAACGTCAGAACGCGACTGTGTTGTAGTAACGTGGAATCTCTCGTTTATTTGTCACATTCGTGTACAACTACAAGTGGTGGGTACGTTTTAATCGTTGTCTCTGATATAACCGACGTATCGTCCACATTATGAGGAAGGCAACTTGTGTACTAGCAACTACTTTAGCGGTTGCTGCTGGAGGAGCACTGTATTATTTGTACTGTAAGCGAAGACGCAGTTTGGATGCCCAGAATAAGATAGAGGATGACATCGTAGATGAAAGTAACAAATCGGTGGATGTGGTAGATCCCGATGTGTTTATTGCTGTGAAAGTTCACGGAAGAGTACGGGATGAGGATGAAAAAGACATTGTGCGTGAAAACAACAAGAACACTGACGAAGAGCTTACTCTCAATCTCTGTCGTGATTTCCCTAAAGCACGTGTAACGACACGTATATCTGCTGAGGTTGAAGAGGTAACTAATCGTGACAATGTCTCAGAACTTCTGAAGGTACTGTTCGGAGTCAACATAGATATAATCCGAAAAAAGAAAGAGAAAATGGGAGGATATATCGAAGCATATGAGAAGCTGGACGTCGACACTTTAACAAAACACAGGACTGACACAGAAAAAAATATCGAGGAGATAAAGATGGCAAGGGAAACTGTGTTACTGTTCGCTGACGTTAATGTCAAAGGACTTGATGGACAGAAAGATTCTTGTTATAAAGGTGATCTAAAGTCACGTAGAGACAGCCTTGTGCTTATTGGGGGGATGTACGTACCAGTGGAGGAACTGTATCAACTATGTGACAATTCTAGAGTGATTGATGATGGTGAGTTTGGTGCGAGAGTGAGAGTCTTCTCCGATGACAGAGATGGAAGTGGCCAGACAAAACTTGTTTTAAAAGTTGATGTAACAGCCATTGAATTGATGCAAAGTGAGAATGGGGAGATTGACGAGACTGGTGATGAAGATGAAGAACGCGGCAAGGTGAGACATGTCTTTTACTCTATTTTATTATTAATGTGTTGTACATGATGGAGTGGCAGAATTGATGTATGAAACGTGTATGTTAAACTTTATCAATCATAACTTTTTATTTTGATTATTTTATTTTACAGATCTTATTGGATCACATGATTGGATAATGGGGAGATAACGGAAAATAACGGAAGAACTGATATTAAAAATATTGTAATTAATTAATTTTCAAAATAAAACATGAATTTGAATATTAAATACGCAGTGTTGTATTGAACATTTTGATGTTTTTTATTGTAGTATTTCCTTTAACTTTTTAAAGAATTTTCGTGAAATTTCCAAACGTATTTATACTGCCTTGTACAGGGTGAAGGAGAGGATAAGTATAGGTAAACCCCCGTTTACGAAATGCATTTTATGAAATTATTATAACTTTATAAAATTTCTAAAAGTTGGCGATTTTAGTTAATGAAGACAAACTTCCTAATGGCACTCATCACGCAAAC